AGGTCAAAACTCCAGCAACACTGGTAGAAAAAAAAAGGAAACGTAATTGTTAAATGTTTCAGCTTGTGGCCTTCGTCAAGGTCCTCATAAAACACAATATGAGCATAACAGTGTGAGCAAACACAGCAGCAGGGCTACCATCAAACACTGAGCCTTTAAACGGTCCCATCAAACATACCACACCGATACTGAAACGGCTCAGCTCCAACCATTAGATAATGTTAGCCATGTGATGCTAACACTTAGCCCTGTCACTGCGTGTGTGTTCCCCCATGACGCTATTTCGCAAGGGCATCATCTGTGATTGGTTTAGAGAAACAAAACAAGTCAGTGTTTTTTCTCAGATCTTTCTCAAGTGCTGGCACAGTGCTGTAGATATAGGTCTGGCTACGTGAGACTAGTTTCCACATGTTGAACCCACCAACAAACGTCTTTTTTTTTTTTTTTTTGTGATTTCCCAATATATAAAATCTGCATCATATCGACGTCCTGCATCCACAGAATAAGAACTCGCAATACCTGACAACCAAACAAAACATACGACACACATATAAAACAAAGAAGCTCAACATCTTTCATCGTCGATCAACTGTAACTGGAACAATATGATCAGATCTGATCACTTTATCATCATCATGTCCCACTTGCCGACACTCTAAAAACAAATCTAACGTAGGTTTAAATTTAATTTTTTTTGTATTTCAACAGTTGCTGTCTTTTTTGAACTCTAATATATTTCTTTTTCTCCAGCGCAGTCGTGCAGGGAGAGTTGTGGATATTTTTAGTGTTTGAGAAGAAGTTTCTGCTGAAGACAGATTTAATTTTGTTGTGCGTGTTTGATATGAGAGCAGCTCAGTTAGACGAGGAGGGCGATGCATTAAAACCAGCTGACACAGTATTTAATCCAAGCTGATATAATCAGGTTAACATGAGAGGAGCCAGCTGCAGCAGGAGGTGTGTCACTGTCCTGTGATCATCGTACGACATGATGGCATGAGTGTGTGTGTGTGTGTGTGTTGTGTCCACAAACAGTCAGAGGTGTGTCACCCTGCAGTGATGTTATAAGTGTGAACAGCAGTGCCTCCATGTTGATGTTTAGGTTGAAATCTGATGCAGGAGACATGAGAACACACCGTAGCATCAAAGATTAATTGATCAAAAATGATTTGAAAGTCTGTTTCTGAAGGAGTGAAGAATTGGGATGTAGTTTAACTTGTTTTAATAATTCTGTCCTGAGCTCTGCAGGACTTGAGACGTTCTTTAATTGACAGATTTTCTGTCCATGTGTTGATTTAAAAAGGTCTGATGTCTCTCTTTTTTAAAGATATTTTTTGGGCATTTTTTACCTTTAATGGACAGGACAGTTAAGTGTGAAAGGGGGGGAGAGAGGGAGTGACATGCAGCAAAGTGGCATCCACCGACGCCCCAAAAGGTCTGATGTCTCTGTTTTAAAGCTACAGTTGTCAGACTGCAGTGAAAGTCTGGAGGCTGACGTGTTGCTGTATTAATAAATAAAGCTGCGTGTTTACTGAAGGTGTTTCTGTGTGTGTGTGTTCAGGTACACTGGCTCTATAGTCATGTATGTACACTCCGGCTGGCGTTTGTGTGATTGTAGTGTAAACTGTATTTTAAAGGTGACCTTTAATGCTGTGTTGTCACTATGGGTGACACACACAGCAACAGGCTACAAGTCAATTTCAATGGAAGCTGGTGACGTGAAGCTTCAAACTGACGCTCAACACTGAGGGCGGTGTGACGAGCTACAAATCAAAGTTGAGCAGGCTTCAGCTTTTTTCAGCACTTCAATGACTCGGTGAAGCATCAACTGATTGTATGGTTTTGTTAGGGATGCATGATAATATCCGACCGTACATCATCAGTATCAGCCAATATCAGCTGCTCTATCGGCCCAGTGATGCAGAAGCAACGCTATTCATCTGAAATTAAGAATCCTTGTGTTTTTGTTACATGAAGCCCAGTTCAGACCAAAGATTCACGACGAGACGAGTTGAAACAGACAGCTAGCTGCAATGCTCCTTTCTGCAACGTTGTAAAAACCTGCTGGTTCACAAGAAGTGACCACGATGAGACATGTATCATCTCTAGTCAACGACTCTCTGTGCTTCTGATCTGTAACACTGACAGGAAGTGACCACCATGAGACGGCATATCATCTCTAGTCAACGACTCTCTGTGCTTCTGATCTGTAACACTGACAGGAAGTGACCACCATGAGACGGCATATCATCTCTAGTCAACGACTCTCTGTGCTTCTGATCTGTAACACTGACAGGAAGTGACCACCATGAGACGGCATATCATCTCTAGTCAACGACTCTCTGTGCTTCTGATCTGTAACACTGACAGGAAGTGACCACCATGAGACGGCATATCATCTCTAGTCAACGACTCTCTGTGCTTCTGATCTGTAACACTGACAGGAAGTGACCACCATGAGACGGCGTGTCGTCTCTAGTCAACAACTCTCTGTGCTTCTGATCTGTAACGCTGACAGGAAGTGACCACCATGAGACGGCGTATCATCTCTAGTCAACGACTCTCTGTACTTCTGATCTGTAACACTGACAGGAAGTGACCACCATGAGACGGCGTGTCGTCTCTAGTCAACAACTCTCTGTGCTTCTGATCTGTAACGCTGACAGGAAGTGACCACCATGAGACGGCGTATCATCTCTAGTCAACAACTCTCTGTACTTCTGTTCTGATTTGCAGCTTTTCAGACTTATTTTGTGGCTGAATATAATTTGTAGCTTCTTAAAATCTGAATGAGGAAAAAAACTTCCTGAACAATTCACAGTGAAGGAATTCTAACCACGATAAATTTCAGCTGGTTGCAATCTGCAGTCCTCACCACTAGATTCCACTAAATATTCCAAAATCTTAAACACTGGACCTTTAATGAAAGCAAAATGGCTGTTGTCCACTAATAAAAACATAGTTATGAGTATTATGTTCCATTTCTGCAAATAGATCCTCCTAAAGCCTACAGTCTGGAGCTTTAAGGTTAAAAAGTGTTACGCAAGTCCCTTTTGTGCTGTTTGTGTCAGTGTGTGTGTGTGTGTGTGTGTGTGTGTGTGTGTGGCCTGTATGGAGCAAGACTTAATTTTTAAAATCTGGACTCTCAGATGAGACCAGTTTGGATTCACTGATGAGAACATTTTTATTTTCCTTAATCCTGACTCCCATTAAAACTCAACAAAACATAATTACATCACATTTTTTTCTGATGGTTTCACAGACTCATTTCATTCACACCCTACTGTGTGAAACATTTTTATTTTTGTCACATCATGTTATACAGACAGGAGAATGAAAGCAGCAGCAGCTCAGTGTGAACCACTGAGCGTCTGTTTTTAGTTTTACATTTTATTCCGCTAACAATTTGCAAAAAGATCTTTGAAATTGTTTGTGGTCTGAAACAACAGGACTCACAGTGAAGGAGAAAACTAGAGTCGATCACAGATAGAAATCTGAGAAGGATTTTCTGCCAGTAGAAAAGTTCTCAAAGCTTTTGTCTCCATGTAGTTTCCAGTTCAGAGCTGAGTGTCACCCAGTTCTAGAGGAACCACACCCAAACTGCTGCCACATATCACTTTACACGCACACACACACACACACACCCTGACACACACACATTTAAAGACATAGTATAGCAGCTGTAATGCCCTCAGTGCTCTCTGTCGTCCTTTTCAGATTCACACACTGAATCTGCATGTTTGCATTTTCCTCTCAGAGTGTTGGAAAGCTTCGTGTTCCACCTCCGCAGCTCCCACCATCAGTGTGAGAGATTTGACATTCAGTAATGAATTCAGTCAGAGGGCAGAGGGACGGGCACCGGGACGATAAATCAGCTGGTCCTGTTCAGAGTTGGAGGGCGTGTGAATCCTGCAGCTTAGCTGGAGACTTTGATTCCACATGTTGAACTCAGGAGATGTGAGGTGTTGATGCAATCACTTCCTCTCAACACATGATGAAATATTCTGGTAAACCTTGTGAATTGCAGCAGTTTACTTTTCAGTTTTCTAGAACATTTTTCATTGAGTTGTTGTGATGCAGATAACAGATACAGATAGTGTCAGCGTGCCTCAGATAATGCCTAAAATGCTGAATCAGGTATCGGTAAGTTGATTCATTTTCTGTAAGCGCTTATCCTGGTGGGGGGGGGGGGGGGGGGGAAGCCTATCCCAGCTGACACTGGGTGAGAGGCAGGGTTCACCCTGGACAGGTCACCAGACTATCACAGGGCTGACACATAGAGACAGACAACCATTCACACTCACATTCACACCTACGGACAAGTTAGAGTCACCAATTAACCTGCATGTCTTTGGACTGTGGGAGGAAGCTGGAGCACCTGGAGGAAACCCACGCTGACACAGGGAGAACATGCAAGAATTTATTAATAACCTTTAAAGTAGTTTAACACCCACATAAAAACAGCAGTTTTCCCGTTCTTAGGCACAAACGGCCGTAAATCAAAATTCCTCTTCATCTCTCTGCACAGTGCTGTGCAGGCTACCGTTGTGCAGTCGCCAATCTGGTAAAGTGAATGATTTCACTTTACCACACAGAAACCGCACTGCCTTCTTTTTATATGATGCCACTAGTAAACACTTGCTGCACCTTCTTATTGTTTCCAGACAACCACCCCATCACCTCCTGACCCTAACCTCCCTGTGTAATCAATCTACTGCTTATTTATTTTAGTTATTTTATAATAATCAGTGTGTAGTTGCTGCCATGTTGAGGCAGAGGGTGCTGTCTGTAGCTCTGGTTGAGGGTGAGAGGCTGTCAGCAGATAAACAGAGATCTGTGTGGGTACATGAGACCCTAAAAAAGACAGAAGACACAGAAGACCCACCTCTCAAATAATCAGATTGGATAATGGGATGGGGTTTCATTGGTTAAAGTTATTTGAGTGGATCGTTCCATGTGTTTATACAGACATGATTATGAAAGGGTGAATCTTCTGTCTGCAGGTTATGACTTTGCGGAGGTCCTGCGTTGGTTCGGGGAGCGGGTGGATCGGATCATTCTGCTGTTCGACGCTCACAAACTGGACATTTCAGACGAGTTCTCCGAAGCCATCAAAGCCTTCAAAGGACAAGACGACAAGATCCGAGTCGTCCTCAACAAGGCCGACCAGGTGAGAGGATGAGGATGATTCAAGATGAAGAGCTTCATCACTTTCAGAAAGATAAAATAACCTCTTCCTCCTCACCTGTGCTCTCAGGTGGACACGCAGCAGCTGATGAGAGTGTACGGCGCCCTCATGTGGTCATTGGGAAAAGTGATCAACACTCCAGAGGTGGTGAGAGTTTATCTGGGATCCTTCTGGGCCAAACCCCTGCAGAACACCGAGAACAGGTCAGATATTCATTCATTCATTCATTCATTCATTCATTCATTCAAACCCCTGCAGAACACAGAACAGGTCAGATATTCATTCATTCATTCAAATCCCTGCAGAACACAGAAAACAGGTCATTCATTCATTCGTTCATTCATTCATTCAAACCCCTGCATAACACCAAGGACAGGTCAGATAATCGTTCAGTCATTCATTCATTCAAACCCCTGCAGAACACCAAGAACAGGTCAGATAATCACTCATTCATTCATTCATTCATTCATTCTTTCAAACCCCTGCACAGCACAGAGAAAAGGTAATTTATTCATTTGTTCATTCATTCATTCAAACCCCTGTACAACACCAAGAACAGGTCTGATAGTCATTCAGCCATACATTCATTCATTCATTCATTCAAACCCCTGCAGAACACTGAGAACAGTTCACATATTTATTCATTCATTCATTCAATCCCCCTGCAGAATACTGAGAACAGGTCAGACATTTATTCATTCATTCATTCATTCAAACCCCTGCAGAACACCAAAAACAGGTCAGGTATTTGTTTGTTTGTTTGTTCGTTCATTAAACCCTGTAGAACACAGAGAACAGGTCATTCATTCATTCATTCAAACCCCTGCAGAACACAGAGAACAGGTCATTCATTCATTCATTCATTCAAACCCCTGCAGAACACCAAGAACAGGTCAGATAATCACTCATTCATTCATTTATTCATTCATTCAAACCCCTGCACAGCACATAGAAAAGGTCATTCATTCATTTGTTCATTCATTCATTCAAACCCCTGCACAACACCGAGAACGGGTCTGATAGTCATTCAGTCATATATTCGTTCATTCATTTAAACCCCTGCAGAACACTGAGAACAGGTCAGACATTTATTCATTCATTCATTCATTCATTCATTCATTCAATCCCCGTGCAGAACATCAAAAACAGGTCAGATATTCCTTTGTTCATTCGATCGATCATTAAACCCCTGCAGAACACTAAGAACAGGTCATTCATTCATTCATTCATTCAAACCCCTGCAGAACACCAAAAACGGGTCAGATTTCACTCACTCCCTCATTTATTCATTCAATCAGTCAGTCATTTATTCAAACCACTGTAGAACATCAGGTCAGATAGTCATTCAGTGTTTTGTTCATTCATTCAATATTATTATATTCTTTTAACTGTTTTATTTATTAATTACTTCATTCATTCATTAATTTGGATGCCTGCTGTGCCACAGCTAGACAACTATACATAATCCTGCACATTTATTCTTATTCATTCATTCACTCCTCAGGCGTCTGTTTGAGGCGGAGTCTCAGGACCTCTTCAGGGACATCCAGAGTCTCCCGAGAAACGCAGCACTCCGTAAACTCAACGACCTCATCAAGAGAGCAAGGCTGGCCAAGGTGAGCCAGGAAGTGACACGTTGTGTTTGGAGTTAACACGGAGACCTGCTGAGTTTTGATTGGTCCTGGAATTCTGGGAATATCCTGGAATGCTTGGCTGTGTTTCAGAGACAGAAAGAAAGTCAGGAAATTTGATCACTCTCATGAGATGGAAGTTTGAAGGGAGTGTTTGTGTTTTCTCAGGAGTCAGCAGAGAGGTCCTGGATGTTGTTAGCTTAGCTTAGCATAGAGACAGGAAGTGGGGAAAAATACCATAGTAACAGACTTTACCCTAAATCAGTTTCAGTAGCTTTCGTTTTACTTTGAAGAGGAACTAGTTCTTCTGTCTGAGGATCAGAAACAAAAGTGAGGTTATATTTAAAGTCAGAGTGGAAAATGAAGGTCAGACTTCTGTGGTGACCTCAGAGACGCTTCATTCAGACTGATCCTGGAGCTGTCCTCAGAATGAACACATGAATGTTCCGCTGTTCTTTTTTAAACCCTCTGAGAAGGGAAGGAAGGTCGAGCTAATAAATCAGAGGTCAGTTTGAAAGGTGTGGAACCTGAAGGTGCTCCATCAGTCTGACGGTGTTTGAAGTTCAGAGGGTGGAGCTGAATGTTTCTGTTGTTCGACTTCCTCCAGGAAAAACCTTCTTTCTTTCATGTTTCAAAGAAACGTCAGGAGTGATGCTTGTTTTCAGCTCTCAGATATTTAGCGCTTACCTCACCTCCTCCACCTCCTTTACTTCCTTTACTCCTTGCTCCCTTCACATGTTTTACAAACTTAACCTCTGTCTCTTTTACTTTACTGCACCTTCTTTATGTTCTTAACCTCCTTCACTCACTCCACCTCCGTCAACGTTTACTTTCTTCACTTTTCATGCCTCCGTGCCGGTGATACCGATGGCCGCAGGCATTATGTTTTCGGGTTGTCCGTCCATCTGTCCTACCCATTCTCATGAAGGCGGTATGTCAAGAACACCCTGAGGACATTTCTTTAGATTTGGCACAAACATCCACTTCGAATCAAGGATGAATTGATTTGTTTTTGGCAGTCACATGTCAAAGGTCAAGGTCACTGTGACCTTGCATCAATCTCATCCTCTAACTCATCTCACTCTTGTCCGTCTCTTTCTTGTGAACACAATTTCCCAAGAACACCTTGAATTTTTCCAAATTCCCTCAAGGATGAACTGAGTAGATTTTGGTGGTCAAAGATCAAGGTCACCGTGACCTTGCATTCACCTCATTCTCTAAAACAGAAAATCTCAAGAACATTTTGGAGCGAATTCCCTTTTATTTGGCACAAGCATCCACTTTGAGACATGGATTAACTGATTAGAAGAGGCGAAGGTCACTTTGACTTTGCATACATCTAATTTGACACAGATCTGTGACTTTTGACACTCAAGTTTGACACAGACGACCACTTGGACTCAACAATGAACAATAAGAATTTGGTATTCAAAGGTCAAGGTCACTGTGACCTTATGCATGTCTCATTTTTGAACACGATATCTCAAGAACGCCTCAAGGGAATTTCTTTAGATTTGACATGAATGTCCACACGGTCTCAAAAATGATTTGACTAGAATTTGGTGGTCAAAGGTCAAGGTCACTCTTACCTCATGAACACAGTACCTCAAGAACATCTTGACAGAATTAACTCAAATTTGGCTCAAACATCCACGTAAACTTGAGGATGAACTGAGGCATACAGTTTCTAATTCTACTTTCCTCCTTCACTTCCTTTTTATCTCCTCTGCCACTGTTTACTTCAGCCTTACTAAAGCTCAGTGAGTCAGTGGAGTGTTGGACTAAAAGGAAAAGCCTCTTGTGTTTCACCTCATTTTGTATGTGGGTTTTTTGTCCCCTGAAAATTAACTGGATAGTTACTGGTTTGCAGGAGTCGGGCTGTTGAAAGCAAAATGAACCACAACAGACATCACTAGCCCTAACAGAGAACGTAGTACTCAGTGTTTCTGTAATCTGTTAATCTGTCTGTAAGAGGAGTAACTTTTGTCCATATTTCACCCTCATTTATTTTAATTACAAACACAGACGACGTTGAAAAGCATTCATCATGTGTGAATTAGCAGCCTTGTTGTTAATGATTGTTTGTTGTTTCCTGTTCTGAAGGACTTCTTGTTTGTCTGCTGGGTGGAGTTAATGAGAGCGCTGAGAGTATTTAATCAGCCTGGAGCTGCCTGGTGTTTCCGCTGTGGGATCAGTTGGATGTGATCAGTGAGTGTGTCGATGCTGTGTGAATGAAGCAGACACAGATGTGAGGGATAAAGTCAGTGTAAGAGCCCGGTTATTATTATTGAGCCTGTTATTATTCAGCAGGTTTCAGTTCTGGAGGAAAAGAACACTTTTTGGCCGCGGTCCATCAGCAGCTGATGATTGTTTTTTCTGCAGAGTTCATGTTCTCAGAGGGAAGTCCAACACGGTCTGATGCATTCAGACCAGTTTTATCAGGTTTCCTGCAGTTTCCTATATATTCCACCTTTTCCACTGCAGGAACTTTATGTAACACGACACTTTTTCATTCTCGCCGGTTCTGCTTTTGTTTCTCTGTTTGCCTTGTGAACCAGATCCTGGAGCTACATGTGGGCTCAGGTGCAGGTTTAGAGTCTCAGTGGTGTGATCTGTTTGTGGTGTAAAGTAAAACTGAACAGCATGACAGCAGACATGTGATCTTAACATGATGTTAAACTGCTGGAACTGCAGGAAGCGATCTTATAAGTGACATATTTATGAAAAGTTATTTGTTAACTATGGTTTTTATCCCCAGGGGTAAAAAGCTGTTAAAACAGAGGTGTGTTCCGTCATTTATCGGCTCAATAAACTCATCAGGTTCAGTAGCAGCATCAACATTTGTTTTTAATGTGTTTGCAGTCATGGAAAAACCTGGAAAAATCATAAAATTAGTATAAATCTTTGAAAGTTTTGGAAAAGTCATGGGATTTATTTGTGTGTAATGAAACTGTTAGCGGGGGCGGCACGGTGGTGTGGTGGTTAGCACTCTCGCCTCACAGCAAGAGGGTTGCCGGTTCGATCCCGGGCGTGGGAGCCCTTCTGTGCGGAGTTTGCATGTTCTCCCCGTGTCAGCGTGGGTTCTCTCCGGGCACTCCGGCTTCCTCCCACAGTCCAAAGACATGCAGGTTAATTGATAACTCTAAATTGTCCGTAGGTGTGAATGTGAGTGTGAATGGTTGTCTGTCTCTATGTGTCAGCCCTGTGATAGTCTGGCGACCTATCCAAGGTGAACCCTGCCTCTCACCCGATGTCAGCTGGGATAGGCTCCAGCCCCCCCGCGACCCTCAAGAGGATGAAGCGGTTAGAAGATGAATGAATGAATGAATGAATGAAACTGTTAGCGTAATCTTCTGTGGATAACCTAATATAAGAGCAAATTTATAAAAATTTAAACGTAATATGCGTCAGTGTGTGATAATGTTTTGTTTACCATCACATACATTTCTTCATTATCTCCCCACATTCCTTCTCTCCCTTCGTGAAATTGTCTGGTCAGAGTTTGAATCTGATATGTTTGAAAAGTGCCGGGCAAGGAGGGAAAAAAAAAATTAAAAAAATTATTTAGGGTCCTTGAAAAATTATGGATTTTTTTTTTTAAATTTTGTCCATGAAAATGTGTCTGAACCCTGTGTCTCAGCCATGTCACAGAGACACAGGTTTGGTTTGTTCTGTTAACACACGGCTGCACGATATGACGAAGATATGTGATCATGGTGAATATCAGGATAACAATATCACCTGCAAGAAACATTATATTGTATGATATACACAGATCAGCAGTTTGATCCCTGGCTATATTTGAGCAAGATACTGAACCCCAAATTGCTCTCAGTGGCTGTTCCATCAGTGTGTCACTGCGTGTGAATGGTTGCTGAATAGCAGGTGGCGCCATGGTAGCCTAGGCCACCTGTCAGTACGTTTACATGGACAGTTTAATTCCACTTTTAATCGGAATGAAAGGCCATTCCGATTAAAAGTGGTCATGTAAACAGTCATTCCAATAGAAAAATGGTCATTCTGATTGAAAATTAAATCTGATTAAAGGGTAAAGTTCATTCCGGTCTTTCTGCGCATGCTCGTTTCCTTGCCCTTTTGGCGCGATGACATATATAGCGCACATAGCAACGGGCTGCATGGCAACGGGCTGAGATAGAGCTGTCGGACTCATTGCACTCACCGGTTTCCATTCGCCACAGCACGGTCTTCTATCTCCCTTCTTCGACCTTCCACCTCCCTTCTCCTCCTCAACAGACGAAGCATTAGCAGAATAAGGTTGTTGTCGTACTGCTGCTTCAAGAATATAAGCAAAAAAAGGCACTAAGAACGGCGTCCTCAAGCATCTTGTTATCCGGAGTGAGGACTACAGTGTTTTCTTCCGGTAAACACATAACATCCGCCCCGCTCCCTATCCAATCAGAAACCTTCCCTGCCCCAAACCTTGCGCAGACCTGAATAAAGGCGTTTGAACTGATCTCCGTGTAAACCCTCATTCGGAATGAATATTTCCCATGTAAACTACCTGGAAAGACTTTAATTCCAAATGATTTTATTCAGATTTATTTCATTCCGAATTAGAAGCCTTCATGTAACCGCAGCCAATGTGTGGGTGAATGTGACATGTGGTGTAAAAGCGCTTTAAGTTGGCAGGAGACTAGAAAAGTGCCATACAAGTACAGGTCCACTTACCAAAGGTGATTTGAAAATCTGTGTTATCACAGTGTGAAGTCTACGAGCTGAGCAGGAACTTGTTGGCGGGGTGAGGGGAAAAACACTTCTGTGCATATTCAGTGAGCCACATACTGTGGAAGTCACCAGAAGCTAGAAAACTTTATTGCCTTAATCACCAGGTGAGCAACTCCACTGGAATGAATAAGCGCCATCTTGATGTCTACTATCTAGGCATTATTGAAACCTATGGTTATATTTTACCCTTACCACCTACTTGTTTTCACCAAAGGGATCTTGAATGCATCATAATGTAACTCAGTGTACAACCTCCGTTAGCTTTTAATTCTAGCCGCCGACTGCTAACAGCTAGCGTTACCGAGCTCTCCTCATGCTGTCAACATGGATTTGTTGTTCACCGTGTAGCTTTATCAGGGAAACAACAGGGTGCATCCTGTGACATGTCGATAGTGACTTTACTGCTTCCTTCCTGATGGAGTCTGGGGGAAGGTCAAAAACATTTTCTGTTGCCCACGGGACAACAGGACGCTGTTAGTCTGGAGTTCTGCTTTTCAGCCTGCGTAAAATTGATGTGACACAAGAGAAAAACATCATCCACAGCCATTGGTGAAGGTTATTTTATTTGCTGATAGGCTGATGGCAGTCAACCAGGCAGATATCGGCCAGTAATGATGTTCATCCCTCGTTCTGTGTCAAGTCTCACAGTTGGGGTAGTTTGGATAAACAAGCAAAGATTTCTCCACATTTCTCTCATGATTGTGAAGTTTTGTCTCAGGCAGAATCGCTGTGTCTCGAGGGACCGTCCTCTCGGGGTTCTTGGTTACAGCTCCCAGTCCCACACTGGTTTATAATGGGATGTTCCTGCAGTGTATAAAGAACAGCTCTTATTCACATCTGCTGAAACCTTTTGGAAAACAAATGGTTTATTTTTTGCCAGACTTATTGACTCCTCCGACCGTTGGCTCGTCTGTCAGAGCATATTTTTGTTCTTCCTCCCTCGATTAAATATTGATTAATGACACTGATGTACTCAGAAATTCGGTGACCTCACTCCATCCATTTATACTCCCTCCCTCCTTTCCTTCCTTCCTTCCACCTCCCATAATGCTGTTGGCCAGTGTGAAGGATCAGAGGGTCTCTGCTCTCCTGCATTCCTTCCTCCTTCTGCTGCTCCTCCTCCTCCTCCTCCTCCTCAGTGTAGTTTACCTTCTGACCCTGCGCCGTTCAGTCTCCTGCTGTTCTTCTTCACTCCTGAAACTCCTCCTTCATCACTGTCATCCAGACTTAAGATTATGTTTCTATTCAAGGAAGCAAAAACCTTTTTCCTTTTTATAATTTAGTCTTTCGTCGAGCATTTTAACCCACTGAGACAAAATTATGAGATACTTCAGTGGTGGAACGTGAAAACACCTCTGTAGTGACAAACACAGATAAATCACAGTCAGTTCATTAGTTAAAATATATAACGTTTTAAAATGTTAAATGTCTTTGTCCCTGTTTCTGTTTGAGTGTACCTGTCCTCTGTCTCTGTTGACTTCAGTCTTCCTGTCTCAGCTGTGTGATTGAGGAAACTGATGTATAAACAGCGCTGTTGTTGGACGAAGCTCAGCGGAGGTCTGACTGCAGGCTGTGTGTGTTTGTGTGTGTGTGTGTGTGTGTGTGTGTGTAGCCTTCCCTTTCGAGGAACTGTTATCTGAGTTGGAAGAGAAAAATGTTAACGGTTGTAAAAATTGTGCGACTGTTCCTTTAAACACAGCAGCTGATTCTGGTTGATATTTTGTGAGTTATTTTGATGTGCTTTCTGCAGCCGTTGTGACCGACAGCTAACACTCTTCTTCTTCTGTTGCCTCCGCTGTCGTTCCTGCAGGTGCACGCTTACATCATCAGCTACCTGAAGAAGGAGATGCCATCTCTGTTCGGGCGGGAGAAGAAGAAGGAGGAGCTGATCATGAGGCTGCCGGAGATCTACACCATCCTGCAGAGAGAGCATCACATCAGCCCCGGGGACTTCCCCAACGTCTCCAAGATGCAGGTACCAACAAACAAACAGGAAGTGACGTCAGGGCTGCAGAATCACAGTTTACACAAGAATCATACAGACAGAATAAAGTCATAAGAGGAAGATTTGAGGATCATGGGGAGTACCACCAGTTGGTCCAGGAGCTTCTCCTCCATCATGGATGTTTCCAGGCATATTTTAGGATGACTCGGGCAGTTTGACAACCTGCTGTGTATCGTCGGGTCGTATAGCTCTGGGTATCCAGCAACCACTACCACCAGTTACTCCTCCATTGTTTACCAACTGTAAACTTGTTGTCATGACCACCACAGAAGGCCCGCCTCTCAAATCATCTGATTGGACAATGGAAAAGAGATGACAAAAAAAAAAAAGATGACGTGGGGCGTTTTTCTGCTCTGAGTTGAGCTGAGTTGAAGCTTTTTCAACTTGAGGAGTTCAGAGCACTCCGGTGAAAACGCCAGGCGCCTAGAGCAAAGAAACACGAGGTGCATCGAAAATACAGCGAGCAAAAAGTGAATGTCCTTATCTAGAGTCAGTATTTGGTTTCACTGTTCTTGGTTATCATAGAAACACGGCGATCTCCGTGGATGAGAACCTGCTCCCTATGTAGATATAAACGGCTCACTCTAAGGCTCATGTCTAAATCTGACACACTGGACCTCTTAAAGGAAAGATTATGAATGCAGGACTTTAACTTGTGGTATTTGTACTTTTACTTCAGTAAAAGATCAGGAGTACTTCTTCCACCATGAGTTCTCACAGAGGCGTGGATGGTGTCGATGTTAAAATGATCACTTGCGCAGCTTTACGTCACGTCAGTCCGTCTGAACACAAACAAACAGTCTGAGAACAAACTGATCTTCAGATGACGGTAAACACTGTCGCACTGAAGGGAAGTGAGCACTCTGCAGCTGGTCTGTCAGGAGATGCTACACTGCAGGTGTGTGTGTGTGTGTGTGTGTGTGTGTGTGTGTGTGTGTGTTCGTTCCCCAGCTACACTTGTATTAATTGGATTATTGGCGAGAGAGCATGTTTCAGATTTTTAAGTTCCCTGGTGAGACGTGTACTCTCATGACACACTCACACACACATAAACATGCTCTGACACGTGTTGTGTAGTGTCTGGACTCACGTGTGTGAGTGTGTGTGTTGTTGTTGTTGAGAGGTCAGAGGTCAGGGGAGAACACTGTGTCCAGCTGCAGAGAGCAGGAGGTTTGACTCGCAGCTCGGTTCAGTCTGACCTGCAGTGATGGAAGAAGTGTTCAGATCTGTCACTGCAGTTAAAGTACAAATACCACACTGTGAACATACTCCACTACATGTTGTAAGTCCTGCATTCATTTGCTACTCAAGTAAAAGTATTTATCAACAAAAGTACTTGAAGTAAAGGTAAGTATGTTGCAGTAAACGGTTCCATGCTGTCAGTTTCTCCCTATTTTATGTGATGCTTTTGGATTAATATTCCGGCTGCATCAATGTGTATGTTGCATTTTACTGCTGTAGATATTTAATCTTGTGCTAATATTTAATTAGTTGATATATTTTATTTTTATAATCTGAACCTGAAATGTAACTAAAACCGTCAGACAAATGTACTGCAGGAAAAAGTACAATATTCCCTCTGAGACATGGTGGAGGATCAGAAGTATAAAGCAGCAGAAAATGGAAATACTCAAGTACTGTACTTTGAATTTGTGCTTCTGTACAATACTCAAGTAAATGTACTTTGTTAAATTCCACCACTGAGTGTCAGGTTACATTCAAGGTTTCAGCCAATCAGCTTTGTTCACCTGTGACATCATCCTGCTGTGACCTGCAGGACACATTTTATTAACTGACTTTAGTTTTGATGTTTGTTGGTTTGTCTTTGTTTTTGTCACCATCTGTCAGTGAAGAAAAGGAACTGCAACAAACAATCAACACTTGAATTATGATACAAATAAAACACTTTTCCTTATAGAGGTCCAATAATGGAAGTGACTCATTGTAAAGTTAAAGACTGAAGTGATAAAACTGATCAAGTTTCCTAGTTTGAAAAGACATTTAAGTCATTTTTACAATTAATATAAGATTCACACATTTTTTATTTGATAACACGAAGAACCAAGTCAATATTATTTTTATGAAACGCATGTCTTGTGATTCTAAATAAGATTCTCAATGTTATTATTTTTATTTTTATTGTTAAACATTACATACATTTCAGTACAACACAGTTAGAGCTGCAACATTCAACAGAAACAGAAGAGGATCCATTTGATTTCCATATCAAAAACAGATTGAGTTCCTTTGAAACTTTATCCCAGAAACTAAGTATCAGAGGGCAGCACCAGGTGCAGTGTAAGTAAGATCCAACCTCTTTCTTGCACGTAACACATAGAGGAGAGATCTCAGGATAAAAAGTGTTAAGTGACCGGAGGGTGCGCTGTAATCTGTGCAGGATCCTGTGCTGACTCTCTGTCAGCCTGTTGCACAAAAAGATTTTCCATGACTTCCCATTTCTAATATGTGACATTGTTTTTATGTGAAACTCTGCCCTCTGGACCAGGACTCCCTGTAAGAAGACATCTTGAATCTCAGTTTGACCCTCCTGGATAGATAAATAAATAAATAGATAATAACATTTGTGTGTGTTCCCCTACAGGACATGTTGCAGCACTACGACTTCAGTAAGTTCCCGTCTCTGAAGATGAAGCTGATCGAGTCGGTGGATAAGATGTTGGCCACAAAGATCGCCGTTCTGATGTCTATGATCCGGGAGGAAGAGTCCAAGCAGCCGCCGGCGATGGTGTCAGGTGGTGCCTTCGAGGGCTCCCAGGACGGGCCCTTCGGTCAGGGCTACGGCGAGGGCATCAGCGCCGGGGCTGACGCCGAGGACTGGATCGTCAGCCGCGAGAAGCACCGCTACGACGAGATCTTCTACATGCTGATGCCCGTCAACGGCAAGATCACCGGTGTCAATGCCAAGAAGGAGATGATGAACTCGCGGCTGCCCAACACTGTGCTGGGGAAGATCTGGAAGCTCGCCGACTGCGACCGGGACGGCATGCTGGACGACGAGGAGTTCGCCCTCGCCCAGCACCTCATCAAGATCAAGCTGGAGGGCTACGAGCTGCCCAACGAGCTGCCCGACCACCTGGTGCCCCCGGCTCACCGCAAAAACCCCATCGCAGACGCCCTGTACAACCACAGCGAGGACTAGGGCGCCAACATGGGCGCTGGGCTAACAAGAGACTGACTGAGCTGAGAGGAAGTCCAAATGTACAAAGTCACCAACGCTTCTGCTGCTGATGTTCAGCGAACTGACAGAAGGTCACAGTTTAGGATTTCCACAATCGAGGAGCTCGACGATCTTCAACCATCGACTCGACCGCTGATCTCACCTTTAAATAAACCGCCCAGCAACAAACAAACTGAGGAAGTCAAATATTATACGCTTTTATTTTGGTAAGATTTTATATACTGTACAATTCAGCTGATTTCAATTCACCAAACAAGAAAAAAAACAGCTTTGTATTTTACTAACCCTGCTTTAAACTGGACGCTTTTATTTTCAAAGAGGATTGTTTTAAAGACATTTCCTCATATTTAACTTCCTGTCTTAATTTTCCTTCATTCTCCGCTTCAGTTTGTCTAAATGACACAATATGTGAGCAGCTCCGATAAGAATGATTTCCTTGAATTTACTGATTCATAAGAACATTTCTGACCTTCAGAATAAAAGTGGTAGAGGGTTCGGTTGTGGGTTTTTTGTTGTTTTTTTTTTGTTGTTGTTGTTGTTGTTGTTGTTTTAAAATCATTGAAAACAGACAGTATAGTTTAATTTTTTCCAGCCTTACATTTCAGCGCTACTCTAAATTACCCTTTTTATTTCTACAGCATTATGTTTCCCTGCTTTTATTCTGAAGGCCAGATGCGCCAAATTCCAGAAGCTTTACTTCTTACTGCTTCGTAGATCCTCGTCTTCATCACTGTGAAATATTTGCCTTCACACTCCCTCCCTCTCTGCGGAGATGAATCAGCTGATTAAACATTAATGAGGCTGATCAGCAGTCGTTGCCGAGGACAACAGATGGATCAGATTTCAGTCTTTACAATCAGGTTCATCTTAATAACAGAGATTCAGGAGCTGAGAGCTTCTTCACTTCCTTCCTCCAACTTTTTACATCCAGTCAGTTTTAGTTTGCAGGCAGATGTTTGTTGGCATATGGAGACAAATAATAAAATGAATCCATCATCACTAAAGTACCAGCTGTTTCCAAAATGACTCCAAACGTGCTGTGCACTAACAGCATTCAATATGAGAACCAGCTTCATGGCACTGAAACCCAGAGTTAACCCCGACGTTACCTCCCTAACTCCAAATCCTGATTTATAGTCCAGCCCTTAGATCTGTTTATGTTGGAGAGGAGGAGGATGATTCAGCTCCTGGTGAAAACCTCATGACCAATTAACACTCAAAGAATATTAATCAGAAATTTCATCTGGTTGCAAACTGTAATCCTCACCACCAAATCCCCCTAAATCTGACACACTGTCCCTGTAGCAAATGTAAGGAAATTATTTCCAACAACTTTTGCAATGTGTTTTTCGTACAAGTTGACATGAAAATGATGATGAAAAAAACAAACAATAAATTGCCTTAAATTAATCTCTGAATAAATTACTTCAGTCCCTGACAAACAGTCTACACAGACACAAATAGAGTTTGTAGTTTAAAGAAAATGTTGAATATTTAAATATTTTATTACATTTTTATTTACATTTTCAATATTAAAATCGCAAAGAAAAAACAACATTTTGTCACTAAAAATATTGTCGTGTTTTAACCAGCAAATATTAAATGATTTTAAGAAATGGGTAAAACAGTCACTCAATTATCAGAATTTATTCATTATGTCTGATGCAGGTGGACTGAAATCCTTCAAAATAAAAGGTGTGACTGTGATGTCACAGGTGTCGAGGTCACATGATCACAAAAATCTAAAATTCATCAAATCGGAGAAACAAAAAAAAATCCTGACTCGTCTTTATGTCCACGTTTCAGAGCAGTAAACAGTCACTGAGGAGTTCAGACGCAGGACGAAGGGTCCAGGAGGTCGTCAGAGGTCAAAGTTCACAGTCTGTCCTGTTTAAACAGCTCACTGTCAGGACGAGATGACGCTCGCTCAGCCGCCGCAGCTCGCCGTTAACTCGTCCCGTGGGACAGACAATGTCCTGAAATGCGTCTCTGTGTTTCCTCACATTGTAAACGGCAGCAGAGACGAGGAGAGACACTGACCTTTGACCTCTAACCTCAGCAGACTTTCTTCCTGGTGGAGACCATGGAAACGATTTAAGCCTTTTTATTTATGGATTTCAAAAACAAAAAACTAACTAACATGTTAAAGAGAGCATTCTTCTTTCCAACATGGCCCCAAGAAGTTAAAAACCAAGACAGTTAAATACACTATGTGGCCAAAAGTATGTGGACACTTGAATACAGCAAAACCATGTGCATTAAACAGCTGCTGGTTTCAGTCTCTCCTCCACCAGGTGTTGAACCTGCTGCAGGTATTTGTTCCCATTCAAACCAGTCCAAACTGGGAGAGTCATTTGTTTATGCAGCTGACTTTGTGCACGTGAACAGATCAACTGTATAATAACGTATGTGACCAGGGGTGTCCAAATACTTTTGGCCATACAGTCTGCATATAAACGGCGTTTTCGGACCAAACACAGTCTCTCCAACAGAATGAGAATCTGTGTGTGGCGGTACCTGAAATTCAGAGGGTTTTGGGGGTCTGTGAACGCAGCACAGGCGGAACTTTTCATGAGGTTTCCAAAGCACTTCTTCCCTTCACGTCCTGCTGTTGTCAGAACCTAAAGTGGCCTTTGTTTTTTCCTAATTTGATCGATCATAACGGCCATAAACTGCTCAAATCATAGGTATCTGGGCTGTGCTGGTAGTCTTTGCCTCCAGTTGCCTGCCCTCCATCTGGACAGCACACCGATGTGTGACATCATATGCAAAGAAGCTAGTAGCACTGTATGTTATCCAAATATGTTTGTCCAGTTATGTGTTGTCATGCACCGATGTTTTTACACGAATAAGTAAATACTGTTTAATTAATTCCGCACACTTTTCCTCTTGTGTTTTAGGAAAGTTTAAAAGTGACGACTACAAATTAGCATGCTTTTGAACCCTTAATTAGTCCAAAGACCGTCACGCCTAGTAACGGCTGCTAAGCTGTTCAAGGCGGGAATTTCACACTGTTATGCCGCCTTGCTGCTCGGTATAAAATGTACAAGCGCTGAATGTGGCAACAGAGTTGTCTCACCTTTAAGCCAACATCGGAGGTGGTAACACTGCTGAAGCGATGTCTGTATAAACAGGATAGTCAGCAGAACAGGATCATGGGCGGCACAGGTGTGACATTTTGATAGAGTTAATGCATGCGAACCATTGCGGGAAACTTAAAAAGTAGCTGATAGCAGTTAGCAGCTAAGTCAAAGAAGTAGAACAGCAGCTGCAAATGTCCACAAATTGGGAAAACACTGAGGTCCAGGAGCGCCTTACCCCCAGAGCAGAGGATGAGATCAGCTGCCTTATAACAGGGACGATAAATTATTGTTATTGCCATGTTATGCTATTGTTATTGTGTCCAAAGCACTGCCGACGTCTATGTTATAAATCACCCCCGTCACGCCTCTTTTGCTTCCACGATGCTAGCATGTTGTCTAAAATCGCACACTGGAGCGGAATGATGCTGCTGTCGTTTGGTTCTGTGTAAAAATGCAAAGGCGGCATAAAGAAAGTTCTTTGTAGCGGCACTTTAGCGCCATCTCTGTGTAAATAGAGCTGCTGTAAGAGGGGTTTTTACCTGCCAACCGAGAGACAAAACATTGTCAGTTTGGGGTCAAAAAAGGATGAAACGAGTCGATGAAAGCAACAAAAGTAGCCGTGAATCTTCTGTCTCTGAATGTGCCTTTAATCACAACACAGAGTTTGTTCTGCCATCGACCACAGATCCAGATATTAGCTGCAAGATGAAGACGTTATGAACCCCTCAACATGTATTTAGACTGAATGTGAAGCTTGTATCTGCATTATTTGCATACATTTGATCACTGGAGTGTTTTTTGAGTCCACCCAGCTCACAACGTACGCACCAACTGCGAGTTTTTTTCCTCCACTTTCTTAACGTACTTACAATGAACTCGAGTCATTGAAACTCTTTCAACGTGCTGGTTGGACCAGATTCTTGTCTTTGTGTTGACTTCATACAGTCTGCCTCTAAAATTAGCTTCGTGTTCAGTCTGGACTAACTTTTAGCACTAAAAACAAAATGTACACATGCTAATAAACTTGCTTCCAAAGTAACTCCAATTTCAAAGCTGTATTTGCACGCTGCCCCGTCAGTGCCTGTTCATTTCAAAGCCTTTCAGAATAACGAGAGGTTTCTAGCGTGAGTTTAGTGGAAACTTTTCCACAGCAGCGCCTCCTCGTTTCAGCTTGAGAAGAAGCTTCTTTGCAAAGCTTTAATCTGTCAGTGCCTTTTTCAGTTTTGACGCCCTCTCTTCTCATGACGGGACGGCTGCGTCCTCGAGGATTCAGCAGCCGGGTGGCTTCTGTTTAGTGCCTTCAACTTGCAAAGAAACACAAGCAGAGAGTAAAGTTTCTAGTTTTGAATCTTACAGCTCCACGTCTTTTTGCATTTCATCTGTCCATGTGAGAACGTCTGTAAAGTATCTCTGTCCCTGATTAAATGTCTGTAACATGCAACATTTTAGTGCATTAAAATGTAAAATCTGCTTTCTGGTGGTTTCAGGAGCCTCCACAGAGTGGGAAGATTCAGTTTCTAATGTGTGCTGTGTGTAAAGATGCGACTCTCAGTCAGAATGTACGTTCAATGAAAAGCTCTAAATCTAAATCTTCATTTATCTGAAATGTAAAAGTTTTTATTTTTGTGATTTCAATGTATTTTGTATTCTTGATGTGTGAACGTGTTACTGATCAGAGGTCTGTTACTGTGCTCTGATGATGTCCAACTGATGATGTCATCCTGTCAGCAGAGGTGGAGACAAATAAAGTTTATTCTACACATGTACCCAACACGTTGTGGTTAGAGTTAATTTGTATTTACTTTTTCCAGTGTTTTTCTTCCACCATGTTCATCCAGCAGGTGAGTTACATTTGGACTCAAATTTTACATCAAAACTTTACAATAATCTCTAAAAATATGATGTTATTTCTTTTTTGCAAAAGTTAAATTAGCTTTGACATTTAATTCTTTGAAACCTGAGATAGTTGGCTTGATTTCTTCAAAAAAAAAAAAAAAAAAAAACATGGGAAGGAGGCAATGAGCAACAAAAGAAGAAATGACCCAAGAAATTAGCAAAAACGGGGGGAAAAAAACAAGAAAATTTATTTTAAAAAAAGAAACAGTTTTTTTAAAAATTTTTTTTATAATTTTCTAATTGTATTTGTTTTTTGCAATTTCTGGAACATTTTTTTTTATGAAGTTGCTCATTGCCTTTTTCCCATGTCGTTAAAAGAAATTGCACCAATCTGTTCAGGGTTCAAAGGTTTACATACTTTTGAAAGGCATCTGAAAGCAGCACAAGAAAAGTGATGTCGCTCCAGTTTTCAGAGGGTTAAAGAAAGAGTTTTAATTTGTTGCTGTTGTCTGTGGTGTCCAATTTTTAAACTGCAACAGCTGTGATTTTTAATTACAATTCACATCATGAATACTGTCTGCTTCTTCCTGAGGTGTAGATGCTTAAATCAGTCTCAGTCTTGTGTCCGTGTGGTGAGTACAGAGTTTGATTAATCTCTTTTGCGTCTCAAACATATCAAAACTATAAATTAATGGCTGTCTGTCTCTCTCCTCACCTGTTTGTTTCTCTCTCCTCATCAGGTGTCTGATGCCGTTTGTTGTTTCCAACTGGAAAGAAGAGGAAGAAGATGTGGACAGATGTCTCTGCTGAAAACAATCTGGAGACTCTGTTAGTATGGACACCAGTTATTTTCACACAAAAAGAAAGCGTAGTGTGGACAAAGTTTAAGGACTTCAAGCAGGAATCGACCAGTGATACAGTTTCTCTATAAAGAAGAACTTAAAGAGTAAGTTAACAAGTTACTGTATGAAGAGAATCTAAAAGGGTAAGTTTGGTAGTTTTTAACCTGGAACCTGTTTTCTTATGAACAACAATTGTTGAAATTCGTCCAGTATTGAGTGAGCAGCAGTAAAACAGGCTGCTGTGTAACCACTCATGTCGACAACATCAATGTACATCCACTGAAAGTGTTTGTTTTTGTCACTGACAGGCTCAGATAATTATTCTATGTGTAGGATCCCTACAGAGATAGAGCTTTGTGTTTAAGAGTAAGATCGTTTTTGTTTGACCACAAGCAACCCTGACATCACCGTCACCAAACCCACCAGACTCCATTTAATGCAGCTGTGCGGAACTTTACGTTTTCGTTGATTATAGCGCCCCCTTTGGTCGAAGCAGTTGTGGTATTTTCTCTAACTAAAACAAAAATTACATACCTGTCGATTAGGAAAAGGGCCAACTCGGGATCAGTTTTAAAACCTTTCAAATATCTCAGCTCTCTCCACTTGGTGAATGCCCGACAGAGGTTAACACGCATTTGGGCTCGAGCCCTATCACTGTCCCGTTTAGCCTTCTTCTGTTCTTCTGTTCTTTTTCTTTTAGATGATGCTCCTTCTTTATCAGACATGACATCAAAAGTACAACCAAGTCCTTATAGATACATCTGGTAAAACTGTTATGTGTTCAGCAATGCCTGTTGCGTACCGCTTACTCAAAGAACACTCTCTGTAAACACGGCTCCTTCTTCTTCTGTGGTTTAATGGCTGCGGGCCGCTGCGGGCGTGCAGACTTACTTCCACCTTCAGGTAACGTATTCTGGTTTGTGACTTCCGCTGTGTCCGACCCGACCGAGGCTACGCTAAATAGCCATATAGAGAAAGGCTTTTTTGTCACTGCTGGGTTCAAATAAATATGCGGATCTTCAAGGGGGGGTGATACGAACTAGGGACAGTTTTATAAATGGTAAAAAGTTCCGCACAGCTGCTTTAAATAAACAGTCATGTTAGTGTGTTTAGAGGCAGCATGTTGTCACATCTAACTGGTGAGTTAAGGATTAATTTCAACCAAACCAGAGTTAGTGATTGTCGGAAAAGTGGAAGGATGAATGGGGATGTATTTTGTTGCTGTCTATGTTGAATGAAGTTTTACGAATTTAACAAAAGCTCTATCTCTGTAGGGATCCTTTCATAATGTTGTCAGACACTTAGAATTACGATCTGAGCCTGTCAGTGACAAAAACAAACACTTAGTGGAAGCACACTGATGCTGTGAATATGCCCTGAAATCACCAAACCCACCAGACACTATTTAAATACCAAATAGTTTTGTCATTGGCAAACACACCGTATTCAAAGTCGACAGAAACAAAATGAAATTTACAAAAACTGTCTTGATTCTGGAAATCAGGACAGACACTTAAAATGATCACCTGAACAGGAAGTGTCTCATCTGCAGAAAGTTGTTCCACTGAAAACTGTCTCCAGTGATTTAATAAGACAAACACTGTTGGTTACATAACGTCCTGTCTCAGGTTGTGTCGGCCGGACTGCGGATGGACGCGTGTCATCAATCATAATCGTGACAGGAAACCTCCCTGCTCTCTTTCCTCTGCAGCTTTATTTTTGTACACTACGATTCTGTGAATCATAAATCATGAATACATAATTCAGCTTCACTCAGCAGGGAGTGTCTGTGTTATTAAACTGTGTCCTAACACATGAGTGTGTTGGTGCGTGTTTTGAAGGAGGGTTTTCTTTCAGCTCTGGAGTTTAAAGCAGAAACACTGATGTGGTTTAAAGGAGCATTGCAGTGTTTTTACATGTTTCATCTCATTATTTACATTCTTCAGAATTTCCAGAATAAATTAATTTTAACAGGTCATGTCTTTTGTCAGACTGTGTGTAACTGTTGCTGATCAGCAGCTGACTAACAGCTACTCTCACTGTGACACTGTCGATGTGTAGCTGATGTTCAGGTATTAGTTTGATTTTCATGCCTCCGCGTCGGTGATATCTGTGGCCAGAGACATTATGTTTTCAGGTTCTCTGTCCTTCCGTCTGTCCCATTCTTGTGAACATGATATCTCAAGAGCACCTTGAGGAAACGTCCTCAAATTTGGCACAAATGTTCACTTGGACTCAACAATGAACTGATTACAATTCGGTCGTCTAAGGTTACGGTTGCAAAACATGTTTTTGGCCGTAACTCAAGGATTCATACACTTATTATGACAAAGTCTCACACAAATGTCCAACAGGAGAAAGTGATGAAGTGATGTTTTATATCCAAAAGGTCAAAGGTCAGCTTCACTGCGACGTCATAATGTTCTACAAAAACTCTTTTCTGTCCATTGTTAACTCTATATCTCAGGAACAGAAGGAGAGACATTTGGTCAGATACTGAAGTGATGTGTATGAAGCATTCATGTTTCACAAACATGATTGCAAACTGTTATTTCAACTTGACTGATTTGCAGAGGCATACAACTGCACGGCCTTAATTCTGGTTTGATAATGTACCCCCAAAGACTCAAAAAGAGCTCAGCTGAAAAATGCATCTGCACCTTTAACAGAGAGGATCTACAACAGTAAATCTAATTTCCTTTTATTTTTAAATCTGTTTATTCAGGTCTGTGTTATTTTGTGATATTCTTTCATTTAAAAAGTAATTAATTTAAAAAACGCAATTCTGAAGAAGTGTAAAAATGTTTAAGCTGCTTAATGTCAATTAAGTATTAAGTCACATTTGCTCAGACCATATCCAGCAATTGTCCCAATGAAAACATTAATTAAACAACAAAATCAAGAGTTTTTCAGCAGCTGTAACTCCACTGCACAGGAGCTGATTTTTACTGCAGCAAGTGAACTAAACTTCTACACTTACTAGACACACTGAAATGTTAACTGGCTGAATGTTTGGGTTTAATTTGACATGGGGTTGTATGAGGTTTGTATCTGTAGTCTGATGGGGTGACAAGTAGCTCACCTGGCAGAGCAGGCGCCCCATGTAAGGTGTGAGAAAGCTGCTCTTGATTGGTCAGAATTTCCATGTGGGAAAAATCCAGGAAGTAAAGCAAACGTTGAAGAAGAGTACACTTGCAAGATAAATGTGACACTTTCTAATGTCACAATGGAGGGACAACTACGCAGGTTGATTTTAGCGCTGCTCATCGTGGACTATATTGCTGTCATTGTTCATTTTAGTCAAACCATACAGTTTGAAAACGAGGCGCGGCTCCAACTAGAAAACAATGTTTTGATGCATTGGATGTGCTGAATGTGCATATTAAGGCAGTACAGGAGGAGGTGCACATTAATAATCCTCCAGGACTGTAACATGCTCATGTTTAACCCAAACAATGTGGGAACCGGACTGAGACTACCTCTTCAAGAAGGTCTCAGTCCGACATCTCTCCATGTAATGCATGTATAGGTCATGTTTGTGCATGTGTGTGTATACAGAGTGGAAAAAAACAGAATTTGACTTTGTGTGTGTTTGAAATGAGGATTAGGAATTTACATTTGGATGATTTTTGCAGTTAAAATGTTCAAATACAGTTTAAAAATATAATTTGTGTATGCATGTGTGTTTGTGTGTGTGCGATCATACTGTCAGCGTGAGCTTTGACCCCTGCACCTGCTGTCAGGTGAGCAGAGCTGCTCATGCTGTAAATCCAATGGCTTCAAAGTTCACACACGCACACATCACATGAAAACACACTTTTTTCTGCTGTGGTAACATTTGGTGACGGACACAAACTTCAGACTGGATGTTGGTTTTTATTCCAAAACGCCTCTGACTCTGTCTGACACTCTACAGCTGAGACGATCCAGAGGACGACAGAAGAAAGGTAAGATAAGAGCTGTGTCCTCTCTGAGTGTGTTTATGTGCAGAACGTAATGTGTTTAGTCGCTTCTCTTCCCTCTCTATTGTCTCCTTTGTTCTCTCTAAGTGTGTGTACATCTGGAGTTTAGAGATCCGTGAGTGTTTCTCTGC